CCAGGCGGGTCTCGAACCTGCGAGCTCAGGCAATCCACTCACCTCAGCCTCCCAAAGCACGGGATTACAGGCTGAGCCACCGAGCCCGACTCATATCTAGGCTTTTAAGTCTAGAGTAGGACAGTCCCTTCTAGTTGCTGCTGAATCAGTCATTATGTCACTCTGTTCAATATTCAGCGTTGAAAGAGAGGGTCTATTTAGCTTGGCCTGTACTGGGTGCTCTTTCTGTCTTCTCTCTCGCTCTCTCTCTCTTTTGATTTTTGAGAGCTAGGATCTTGCTATGGTGCCCAGACTGGACTCAAATACCTGGGCTCAAGTGATCCTCCAACCTTCAGCAGGAATGGTAGGCACCTTGGCTGTGGTCCCACGGATTGCATGTGACATAAGAGATGGAGTCCCTGCAGAATGCGAATAGGATGCTATTACAAGAAAAGGGAATAAGGACTGCTGGCTGGGCATAGCCTTCAAGCAGATGCTTCAAGCGCTGTACAGAAATGTGCATGCTCTGTGTGCCTGTAATTGATACAGAGGAGGATGCTGTTAGAATCAGTCGTGACTCCTATAATATGTTTCAAAAAGCTGTGCTTGTCCATTACTAAAGTTTTATCATTAGAAAGCATTTAAAGACTACTCAAATGCCAGTTAACAATAGAATAGTAAATACATTTTGGTGTGTTCATATAACAGACTTTACAAAATTAGAATAGACAATCTCAGTTATACACAGTAGTACTGATGAATCTCTTGACCATAATATTGCGGTAAAGAAGGCAAACACAAAGAATCTGTACCAATTTATAGAAAGTACAGAAACAGACAAAACTACTCTTTGCTGTTAGAAGGTCAGTGGTTATAGCCACCAATAGTAATGATATAAGCAGGTATGAGAGAGCTGTGGTCTGTAGATGGGTACATTTTGTAAGTATAACATTTTACATACTGAAATACATCAAATTGAAAAAAAAAGAAGTCAGTGATTACCTTGGAGGGGTTATATATACCTGGAAAGAAAGAGGAGAGAAGATTCTGGAGACTGATCATACTGTTTTTTGTTATGGATACTGATTATATGGGTGTGTGTAGTCTGCGAAATTTCATTGAACTCTATGCTTATATGAACTTTTTATTATGTATGTATACTTAAGTTTTAAAAAAACCTAACTGTTGGATGGGCACGATGGCTCACACCTGTAATCCCAGCACTTTGGGAGACTGAGGCAAGAGAAGATCACTTGAGCTCAGGAATTCAAGACCAGCTTAGGGAGCATAGAAAGACCTTGTCTCTACAAAAATAAAAAAATTAGCCAGATGAAGTGGCATGTGCCTATAGTCCCAGTAACTTGGGAGACTGAGGCAGAAGGATTGCCTGAGCCCAGAAAGTCGAGGCTATGGTGAGCCGTGATCATGTCACTGCACTCTAGCCTAAGTGACAGAGTGAGACTCCAACTTACAAAAAAAATTTTTAAAAGCCTAACTTTTGACATGTACTAACACTCTCAAATAGATATATGCTGAGTAGTTTAAGAGGTAACAAGTCATGTTCATATGTGCAACTTGTCTAAATATTCATTTTTACTTGTGTGTACACTTAGCTGTTCTTGAACAACTCTTAGAAATAGATCAAGATTTTTTTTTTTTTGAGTTGGAATCTCACTCTGTCGCCCAGTGGCATGCTCACGGCCACTGCAGCCTCGACCTGCCGGGCTCAGGCAATCCTTCTGCCTCAGCCTTCCAAGTAGCTGGAACTACAGGTGTCGTGCGCCACCACGCCTGGCTAATTTTTCTTGATTTATTATAGAGATGAGGTCTCACCAAGTTGCCCAGGCTGGTCTCGAACCCCTGGGCTCAGGCAATCCTCTTGCCTTGGCTTCCCAAAGTGCTGATATTACAGGCATGAGCCATCACAGCCAGCCTAGATCAAGATTTTTGGTGAATGCTGTTATGATATTAAGATTTTGTTGCAATCATCTTTAAATACACCAGAGGATGTATTTCTTGACTTGGGGGACATTCCTAATAGCTGTAGCTTTGATTAGATCATTTTCTGTATCTGTGAATGACTTTAAAATTATTTTATACAGTGCATTGCGCATACTCCTGTAGTCCTTCTACCTACTCCTGAGGCTGTGGTGATGGGTCCACTTGAGCCCAGGAATTTAAGTCCAGCCTGAGCACCATAACAAGATTCTGGCTCTCAAAAGGAGAGAGAGGAAGAAGAAAGTTATTATTTGTTTTGTTCTGTTTTTTTGAGTAGGGGTTTCACTCAGTCACCCAGACTGGAGTGCAGTGGTATGCTCATGGCCACAGCAGCCTCGACCTGCTGGGCTCAGGTGTTCCTTCTGCCTCAGCCTTCCAAGCAACTGAAACCACAAGCGTACGCCACCATGCCCGGCTAACTTTTTAAATTTTTTCTTCTTTTTTTATTTTTTGAGTTAGTGTCTCACTCTGTCATTCAGGCTGGAGTGCAGTGGCATGCTCATAGCCACCCCGCGTCGACCTACTGGGCTCAGGCCATTCTTCCGCCTCAGCCTTCCAAGTAACCAGAGCTACAGGCGCATGCTACCACGCCCGGCTAATTTTTTCATTTTTTATTGTAGAGACGAGGTCTCACCAAGTTGCCCAGGCTAGTCTCGAATCCCCGGACTCAGGCAATCCTCTCGCCTCTGCCTGCTAAAGTGCTGGGATTACAGGCGTGAGCCATTGCACCTGGTTGAAAAAAGTTACTGTACAAATACTTATAATGTGTCAGGCATTTTTACTTCCTCGACTTCCTGCTATTTTCTTATCTAACCCACAAAACCTCACAAAGCAAAAACTATTTTGCTAAAAGAAAATTTAAGGTAGAATTTCAGGGTTAAGGAAAAAGAAAGAACAATAGCTATTCTTTGAATTGTAGTTTTATTTTGGTTGATAGGAATGCTATTTTTTTCCCACTTTGTAGTCTGACTTTTGTTTAAATGCGTGTAAGTGCATGTCTTGCTGGAAAGGGAAGCGATTCTTGGGAAGTGTAGGATTGAGTGGTACGGCTCATTGTGTACCAGGTGTTAATACACTGCAATTTACACAAATGAACGCACGGTGGTGGCTCCTTCATACCTTCCAAGAAAAGTGACATACCCTTGGTTTGTTTCGGGTAGATTCTGCCGCTCCTGTATTGCGACCAGTCTCAAGAACAATAAGTGGACCTGTCCCTACTGCCGGGCCTATCTCCCTTCAGAAGGTGTTCCCGCAACCGACGTAGCCAAAAGAATGAAATCAGAGTTCCAGAACTGCACCGAGTGTGACGCCCTGGTATGTGACTCTGTCTGTGTTCATGGCTACCTGCTTAGGTCCCTGAGAAAATGACCATTTCACATCTGCTTCTGACCCCATCTTACCCACCTTTCCAGGGGGTTTTCTGTCAGCCGCCTTGCTTCCTTTTCTCCCATTTTATATATTTCAGCTGTTAAAAATCCTGATTGGGTGCCGTGACTCACTCCTGTAATCTCAGCTCTTCGGGAGGCTGAGGCGAGAGGACTGCTTGAGTCCAGGAGTTCAAGACCAGCCTGGGCAACATAGTGAGACCTCGTCTCCACAGAAATTAAAAAAAAAAAAATAGTCAGGCATGGTGGTATGTGCTTGGAGTCCTAGCTATTTGGGAGGCTGAAGTTGGAGGAGCTCCTGAGTCCAGGAGGTTAAGGCTGTGTTGAACTGTGATCATGCCACCATACTCCAGCCTGGGCAACAGAGTGAGACCCAACTCAAAAGACAAAAAATACCCTGAACTTCTACTGTTACCGAATTTTTGAAACAAATGCTTTCATTGGCCACTCTGTTTTCTCCTCCCATCACTCCTGCAATTCCTTATTCAGTGGCCTCCATTCCTGCTCCCCTACACAGCCCACCAATGTATACCTTTATTATCAAACTCTGTGGCATATTTCCACCTTTGTTGTTCTGAACTTTCTCTGTCAATCACTTTCTCCTTGTCGCAGTTTTCCAGCTTGGTTCTACACTCACCAGGTCAGATCATGTGAGGTCTTGAAGGCCATGTAGAAGATTCTAGATTTTTTTTTTTTTAGTAGGAGTCTCACTTTCACTCAGGCTGGAGTGCAGTGGGATGATCACAGCCCCCACAGCTTCGACCTGCTGGGCTCAGGCGATCCTTCTGCTTCAGCCTTTCAAGTAACTGGAACTGCAGGCACACCACCATGCCCGGTTAGATTCTAGATTTTATGCTAAGTGCAATAGTAAGCTATAGAAAGAGGGTAAGCTTTGGAGTGCCAAGCTGGGGTTTATATTTTTAAGATATCACTGTAGCATAGGCGTGGAGGATGGCTTGGAGGGCAAAAGTGCAAGTGAGGGGGCCACTTGGGTGACTTTTAGGGTAGGTCAGGTGAGGAAGCTGGATTAGGATGATGGCCCTAGATGTGCTTGTTTTTGAGGCATGTTTAGGAGGTAGAATGGAAGGAAACTGATGATTGTCTGGATATGGGGGCCAGTGATGTGGGAGTGTGGAAAATGCCAGCCAGGCACGGTGGCTCATGCCTGTAATCCCAGCACTTTGGGAGGTGGAGGTGAGAGGATTGCCTGAGCCTAGGGGTTCAAGACCAGCCTGGGCAACTTGATGAGACTTCATCTCTACAATAAATCAAAAAATTAGCCAGGTGTGGTGGTGTGTGCCTGTGGTTCCAGCTACTTGGAAGGCTGAGGTGGAAGGATCGCCTGAGTTCAGTAGGTCGAGGCTGCAGGAGCCGTGAGCATGCCATTGCACTCCAGCCTGGTGACAGAGTGAGACTCCGACTCAGAAAAAAGAAAGTGCCTTCAGGGCATTCTCACAGGAGTAAATAAGCGTGCAACTACGGGAGCAAATATGGAGAAGAACCCGGAGTTAAGTTTTGGATATATATAATTTATAATTATGCTTTTATGGTGGTTTTAGTTTAGTGTCAGTTGTTTCCATACAGATTTCAGTTCCATGAAGGTAAAGATTATATTTGTTTTAGTGGCATCTGTGTACCAAACACTTTGAAAAATGACTGACACATAGTAAGTGCTCAGTATATTTTTGGATGTTTGTATGAGACTCAGTAGCTTTTTTATTTCTAAGATACTATTGTGGAAGAGTAAAAAAATAGTCTATTCATGGCTGACTATAGAATTTATGCGTGGTCTTTAGAGTCAGACATCCTGGATCAAACACTAATGCTGTCACTTTTTATGATTTTAGGTAATGTATTAATCTGGATTTTTGTTCACGTCTTTGTAAAATGAGGGAAAAGATAATGTTTATGTCATAGGGTGGTTGTGAAGGTAAATGATAAATATCCATGTGAGATGTATATATGACTGATGGCTGGCTTTTAACACAGTGTCTGGAACATACTACTTTTTTTTTTTTTTTTTTGAGTTGGAGTCTCACTCTGTCGCCCAGACTGGAGTGCAGTGGCCGCTCCCGGCCACCGCAGCCTCGCCTGCTGGGCTCCGGCAATTCTTCCACCTCAGTCTTCCGAGTAGCCGAAATTACAGGCATGCGCTACCACGCTCAGCTGATTTTTTGATTTATTGTAGAGATGAGGTCTTGCTGCCCAGGCGGGTCTCGAACCTGCGGGCTCAGGCAATCCACTCACCTCAGCCTCCCAAAGGCGTGGGATTACAGGCTGAGCCATTGAGCCCGGCTACTTTTTTTTTTTTTGAGTCAGAGTCTCACTCTATTGCCCAGGCTAGAGTGCAGTGGCATACTCACGGCTCATTGCAGCCTAGAACTTCTGGGCTCAGGTGATCTTTCCACCTCAGTCTGGGACTACAGGCACATGCCACCATGTCCGGCTAACTGTTTTAGGATTTTTTTCTAGAGACAAGGTCTCACTATGTTGCCCAGATTGGTCTCAAACTCCTGGGCTCAAGTGATTCTCCCGCCTCAGCCTCTCAAAGTGCTGGGATTATAGGTGTGAGTCACCACACCAGGCCTACCTTCTTAATAATAGATTATTGCTTATTTTTATCTAGTTTGTCACCATAAATTCAACATGCACAAGCTGTTGAATTATTATACTCATATTATTCCATTATCTACTTGTTCTTGATGCCACCTTGGTGTCTGTCAGAAACAAGAGCTTTCTTTCAATTATCTTGGGTGTAAAATTCCTTTCTTTCCACCCTGACCTATATCTTTTATTTTTTTAGAGACAGGGTCTCACTGTATTGCCCAGGCTTGAGTGCAGTAGTGCATTGATGGCTCAGTATAGTCTCCAACTTCTGGGCTCAAGTGATCCTCCAGTCTCAGCCTCCCAAGTAGTTAAGACTACAGGTGCATGCCACCATGCCTGGCTAATTTTGAATTTTTTTTTTTTGTAGACACAAGGTCTTGCTTTGTTGCCAAGGCTGGTCTTGAACTCCTGGGCTCAAGCAATCCTGCCACCTCGTCCTCTCAAAGTACTGGGATTACACATGTGAGCCTCCACTCCTGGCCCTGCATATCTGATGGGTCACAGGAATTTCTTGATTTTTTCCTTTGAAGTACTTCTTATGTCTACCTCATCCTATCTGTGTTTATTCCTTTTGCTTCTCATTCCTTCTCCAGCTATTTTAGTCTTTACCTACTCTTGTATCTAGACCAGATCTCTATTCCATGAGGCCTGGACTTAGTATTTCAGTTCCTTATAGCAAACATTTTCCCATTATCTTATCTCCACATCCTTTTTCTTCTATTAGATTATAAGCACCACTAGAGCAGGCACAGTGGCTTGTGGTTTTTTCTGCCATCTCTTGCAATATCTTGCATAGTTTTGTGTCTAGACTATGAATTGATCAATTCATTTGTCAGTATAGAGTCCACAGCTTGCAGATTTTCTTTTTTTTTTTTTTTTTTTGAGTTTGAATTGGAGTCTCACTTGATTGCCCAGACTGGAGTGCAGTGGCTGCTCCC